CAGCCTAGCTCACAGCAACCTCAAACTCCTGGGCTCAAGCGATCCTCCTGCCTCAGCCTCCCGAGTAGCTGGGACTACAGGCATGTGCCACCATGCCCAGCTAATTTTTTTTATATACATATATATATTTTTTGTTGTCCAGATCATTTCTTTTTTAGTAGAGACGGGGTCTCACTCTTGCTCAGGCTGGTCTCGAAATCCTGACCTTGAGCGATCCACCCGCCTTGGCCTCCCAGAGTGCTAGGATTACAGGCATGAGCCACCGTGCCCGGCCTGGTCCGTTGATTTTTGACAATTCAGTGGGGAAGGAAAGATTGTCTCTTTAACAAATGTTGGGACAATGGGATATTTACACGCAGAAGGATAAAGTTAGACCCCTCAACCTCTCACCACATACAAAATCTAACCCAAAATGAATCAAAGACCTAACTGTGAGAACTGAAACTATAAAACTCGTACAAAGAAACCGTAGGCATAAATTGTCATGATCTTGGACTAGGCAGGGGTTTCTTAGCTAGGACACCAAAACACAGTCAGCAAAGAAAAAATAGACAAATTGGACTCCATCAAAATTAAAAACCTTTGTGCTTCAGAGGACACCATCAAAAAGGTGAAAAGACAATCTGAAAACGGGTGAAAATATTTGCAAATCATTTATGTAGTAAGGGTCCAGTATCCCAAATATATAAAGAACTCTTCTAACTCAGTAAGAAAACTGACCCAGTGAAAAACGGGCAAAGCCTCTGAATAGACATTTCTCTATGTACAAATGGCCAATAAGCACAGGAAAAAAATGCTCAGCATCAGTAGACATCACAGAAACACAACCCAAAACCACAATGACATACCAAGTCATACCCACTGGGGTGGCTGTATCAAAAACACAGAGTGACAAGCGTTGGTGAGGATGTGGAGAACTGGGCCCCTCGTGCTGCTGTGGGAACGGGAAGCGTGCGGCCGCGTTGGAGAACAGCCTGGCAGCTCCCCAGTCATGAGCAGGTACATGACCCGGCGATTCCACTCCTGGGTGTACGCCCAAGAGAAATGCGAACGTATGTAATGTTTATATCAGCATTTTTCATAATAGCCAAGAGTGGAAACAACCCAAATATCCATCAACAGACAAAAGCATAAACAAAATGTATCAAAAAATGGAATATTATTTGGCCATTAGAGAGAAAAAGTACTGACACATGCTACGACACAGATGCACCCTGGAAACAGGCCAAGTGAAAGAAGCCTGTTGCAAGAGACCGCGTGATACGATTCCATTCCTGTGACAGTGCGCAACAGGGAGCTCTGTGGGTCAGGTCAGTGGTTGCTAAGACCGAGGTCAGCAGGAGGGTGGTGGCTACAGGGTGTGGGTTTCTTCTGCAGTGATAAAAATGTTCTGGAATGGAGTGCGGCTGGGGTGGCGCATGTTTGCGGACATGCTCAAAACCATGAATTGTATGCTCTAAATGGGTGACTTGTGTGGCAGGTAAACTAGAGCTCAATAGAGCTGCTGCCCAAAAAGAAAAAACAAAAAGCACGTTAGCACGTGCAGAGCCCCGGTGGGCAGGAAGTCTGTGCGGTCCGCGCCCCGGCCCTCCTCTTGCCACTCTCAGGACGCCCGCCTGTCCCACAGGCTGGATGAGGCGGCCGTGCAGCCCTTCTGGGGGCCTGGGGTTGTGTCAGTGCTTGCGTGGGGTCAGGGGTCTGGCCCATGAGCTGCTTGGGCCTCCCCTGGGAAGGGACCCCCCAGGGCCCCTGCTGTCCTGACAGTGCCACTTGCTGGGTCCTCCTGGGGGCACCCAGGGCAGGGCCAGCTGGGGAGGGGCCCCCAAGGGCTGGGGAGGGGCTGCCGGTGCCCACCCTCTCCAGAGGCTCCTTAGGATGTGCCCAGAGCCCCAGGAGGGAGTCCCACTGCCTGTGGCCATGCAGCAGATGCTCTGGATGGCAAGGAGCCTCGGGTCAGCCCGCAGAGCGGTTTGGGAAGAAGCTGGGCGGCGCCCTGGAGCCCACGTCCACAGCAGATGGCAGCTCCGCCATCTAGTGAAACTGGAAACCACCCCGACAGGCTCATCAACCAAGCCAGCGGGACATCCCTGCCGGGACGTTACTCAGCAGGAAAAAGGGGTAAACTCTTGACACACGAGACAACTCGGGGACTCCCCAAGGCACTGTGTGCAGTGGAAGACGCCAGGCTCCAAAGGCGACATTCTCAAAGAAACACACTGTGGGGTGGACCTGTAGTTCCCAGGGCAGGGGCAGGGTGGCCCCAACAGGCCAGCAAGAGGCAGTTTGGGGTGATGCAAAGTTCTGTACCTTGACTGCCAGTAGCTACCCCAACCCATGCTAGAATCCACAGAACCGTACGGCACAATGAAACCTGTTTTCCTGTGTGATCATTAAAAATAAAGCCCTCGGTGCTGCTACTCCCACCTCTCTGCAAGGTGACTTCTGACAGGTGACCACCTGCAGCGTGGTAGCCGATGCTGCTGTGGGAGCTCCACAGGCTGTCCGGCAGCCTGGCAGGACCGGGCTCGCAGTGTTGCCTCCCTGACTGGACGGCTCCTTGCTTTGACTACGGCTGTGGTCTTATCCCGTGAGGTTGTTTCTTCCGTGGTTTCTGCTTACAGTTCGAGGGTCTGTCCCTCCAAAACTCATGTTGCAATTGCCTTTGTGACAGTACAAAGAGGTGGGACCTTTGAGAGGTGAGCAGGCAGGAGGGCTCCACCTGCACAGGTGGGTCTGGTGCTGCTTCGGATGGCGGGCTCGGCCCCTCCCCTCACCTCCCACCATGGGACGACGCGGCAAGAAGGGCCCAGCAGCCCGGCACCTGGCACCTGGGGCTCTCCAGCCCCAGCCCCGGGCGCCGATTATCTTGTGCTCACCATGAACTACCCAGTCTCAGGTGTTCTGTTCTAGCAGCATGTCTAAAGCCGAGTCCCTGAGAGACCATTACGAGTCAGCTACTGTCTAGGTGCCGTTCACAGGTTGGCAACAGAAGTGGACTCTTAGGGCTGGAAGAGACCCAGAGGCCACACCTCCAAGACTTCACAGATGAGGAAACTGAGGCTCAAAGGATTTGGTGGCTGAGCCAGCCACTGTTGGGGTCTGGATTTGGACCAAACTGTCATCCTTTCATGAGTAAGAGCTCTGCGCAAGAGCCAGCTGAGCACTGGTCCCTGTGGCAGCTGGGTGCCCCCATCCCAGCCCATGCTCGTCAACTTAGCACGCTGCCTGTACCTTGGAGCGTGTGTCCCAGCCCAGACGTCCTGGAGCCTGTGGAAGGGAGGGGCCCCTCCGCCACTGCGCCGTGTTTCTCTGCAGGGCCTGGATAGCTTCCTGGGAAGCCTGTGGCCAGAGGTCTCCTGACACCCCTGGAAGCTGCTGTCTGTTGTGGCCTGCTCCTTTAGCCTTTCTTCCCACCCCTTGCCCTCCCCCTCCCCCACATGGGCACTCCTCAGAGCCCCCATGTGACCCCCCCACAGCCGCTCCTCCTCCTCCAACTCCCTCCAGGCCCCTGAGACCTTGGGCAGGACAGCAGCTCTGCCACAGGGTTCGCACCTAATTCTGACTTGCTTGTGATGGTCTGAGTCTATGGGTCAGGCTGACACTGGGCTATGCTCCCTGCTGGTGGCGGGGCTGCCATCGGCCCCTCGACAGGACAGGGAGCCAGCAAAGCTAGGCCCACCAGGGGGGTCAGCTCAAGGCCGTCGGGGGATCGGGTCAGCGCGTCGCTAGGTCCAGCAGGGGAATCTGTGTGAAGGAAAAGGCTGACGCTCGCTCCTCTTCCAGGTCGCCCAGGACACAAGGGCACCCCTGGGCCGTGCCTCCACCTCACTCAGGTCGGGAGGAAGTTTGTGCTGCTGCAGGGACAGTTGCCAGCACCTCCTGGGCTCCGACCTGCAATGTGGCCGTGAGGGGCAGGGCGCCGTGGACAGCTGCTCGCGTTGGGGCCCCACCACGGGATGCCACGGGACCAGCCTCTCCCGGGGAGGCCCTGCTTGGCTGAAGTAGAGGGAATGGAGAGGGCCCGGGGGTGGAGGCTGCACCGAGACCAGGCTGGCCGCCATTGCTGTCCTCAAGCAGGCCCTCCACCCCCTGTCAAGTTGAGGACAGAGAATTGGCACTCGCCAGCCCGGGACACACTGCTGCAAGGGGACAGGGTTGTGGCCCAGTGAAAATAACCTTGGGACCGAGGTGCATGTCTCCAAGAGCAAGTGGGCAGCCCACACACAACAGAACCCCCAGGCAGGGTGGCAGAGGGCCCCCTCCTGCTGACACATGCCCTGCAAGACAGCCATGGCCCTGGCTCTGTGGACAGCTGGGTGGCAGCCAAGGGTGGGCTCAGTGCCATCACCAAACCTGGACTTGCCCTGAAAACCTAGATTTCCAGTTTCTCTTGAAAAGCCTCGAGGCTGGTGTCCCATGGCACCCACGGGTTCTCTGGCCCAGACATGGAGCCGCCCCCTCAGTGGAACCTACCCAGCTCGCTCTCCGGGTGAGCATCTCGCCTCCCACTCGGGCATTGTGACCCCAAACCGGCCACCCTCTGGGAGCACCAAACTGCCCGCCCTCCCTCCTTGTGAGCGGGTGGAGGCCTGGGGACTTCCAGCCCTGACTGCCTGCCACCAGCTACAGGAATCCCATGAAACCATTCAAGTAAGGACAGGCAGCCAGGGTCCCTTGAGGGAGCCGTGGCCAGAGCGCTGTGCTGGCCCTCACGGAGGGCAGCTGCCCAGAGGTGACCGTCAGGGCCCCAGCCACACAGGCTGGAGCCCCGAAGCCACCTCTTGCTCACCAGGTGGAGCCTCACGCGCCCAGTCCTTGGCTCGGCCGGGCAAGTGCTCTCCAGGGAGTACCCCGCGTTGGCCAGGGGAGGTTTGTCAGGGTCACGACAAGGGGGGCCACACCCCAGCCCGCCCACGTTTCCACGCGGGAGCCACAGCAGGGTGCCAACCATGCCACGTCCACCAGGCAGCAGGCCGTGCAGGGGGCCAACTTTAATTTGGGGCTGTCCTGTTTGGGGGTTAAGGAAGCAGCTCCCCTCTGTCCTTGGTGGCTCTCAGGGCCTCTGCTCCTGCTGATGTCACAGACAGGGCTCATCCCGGCGAGACTGTCTAATCACAGAACCGACCTGCGCACAAGAAGTCCTCTCCAGGGCTCCTGTCTTGGCTGCTGGTGGCTCAGAAGCTGGAAGGTTGAGGGACCCGGGTCTCTGCAGGTCCACAAGCCCCACGCACAGGGAGCCCACAGGCACTGCAGGGCCACGCCTGCTGGAGCAAGCTCTCGTCTCCCCGTCGGGATGTCCATTCTCAGCAGGGCCAAGCCACTGTGTACAGGCCCACGAGTGGCGAGGGGTGAAGCCACGGCTCCTGGAATTGTCAGTCCTGCAAGGATGGCCCCTGGTCCCCTGCCCTCAAACGAGAGGCTGGAGTCTGGGGTGCTGAGGCAGAGGCACCCAGAGGTTCCACGAAAGCCAGTTTACTGGGGCTTCCACCCCCAACCTACGTGGAAACTGAGGCGTGTCAGGAGGCCAGCCCACGGCAGGGACCCCTTAACTGAAGCCTCCACCAGCTAATGGGAGCAGCAGGAAGTAAAAGGAAATGCGGGACCCCAAGGTCCTTCCCCGCAAAGGAGCACGAACTGCGCAGGGTCAGGAGCAGCAGCGTGAGCAGCACCGGGAGCCTGGCCCGGCCACGGCAGAGCTGCAGCCACCAGAAGCCGGCCTGGCCAGGGTCTGGCCGCTGCCGTTTAATCCAGAAATGAGAGCAAGACAGCAGCGCCCACGTGCACCCAGACTTTAAGCTGCGAAGGGTGCACTAGAGTCCCCCTGACACGACAGCCCTGCGCTGCGCTCCACTCCTGAGCACCATCCACGCTGATCTCCACGGAGCCCGGTCGGGCTGGCCACGAGCCCAGGCTCCCAGTGGCCACAGTCCTTGGGGAATCCCTCAAGCCCCGAAGGAGGAGGCTGCATTACGAAGCTGCCACCAGGTCCGCCTGCCTGGGCCTAGCCTTGACAGGGACTTTTTCTGTGGAGGAAACAAAGAAATGTGACGCAAAGAAGACCCCACAGGCAGAAACCTCCAGAGAAGGATGAGGCGGCAGGGAGTCGGAAATGGGACAGGGACTTCAAGCTAAGGGAAGAGCACACCCGGCCCTGGGGGCAAGTTACAAACAGGAAACCACTGGGGCTGACAAACACGGCTGGGGACGCAGGACAGTGGGAAACACAGCCCCTGCCGACAGTGCCCAGCAAGGAGACGAGCACTGAAGATCAGTGAAGGAACAGAACAAACCACGGATGGATCCTAAAGCCAAGTCGGGCTCCAGCGGGAACTGGCTGAGAGCGCATGTTAGATGCTGCGGGGCTGGGACAGTCCACGTGGCCACTCCAGGGTCACCCCGGGAAGCGCTGGTGCAGCTAAGTAAGCCTTTCCCAGTCCCAGTGTCTGGATGTGCCCCTCCGGGGGGCACGGCTCTCTCACAGGGCTCCCAAGCCCGAAGGCCGGGTGGGTGCTCTCCCCCTCGCCCACCGCCGGGGGGAGGACGGACCGACCTGTGCCAAGCGGGAGGGGCCAGGTGTGTTTTGTTGTGTACCCTTCTAGAATTCACTGCTCTCCTGTGAATGCTACCATGCTCAAAAGCACACGGCATGGAGATACCTGGGTTCTTCTCGGGAAGGGGCTCCGAAGGAACCTCCGGCAGCTCCATTTGTTCCTGCAAGAAGCACAGGTGAGGCCGTGACAGTCAGGCAGGTGGGCCAGTGGCTGCCTGGGTCTGAGAGGAACAGACCCTGTTCAGTCAGCTGTTCTCAGCCGGATTTAAAAGGAAACCACGATCCTACAAACGCCCAGAGTCTGCGTCCCCTCCGCCACCCGGCTTTGGGCACCTTCTGAGATTCAAGTCAGCCGGTGCTGATGCGCCCACTACGGCAGTGGCTCCTCCCAACAGTCCCCAAGGACCCTGAGGGGCCGGGACGATGGCCAACTTCTGGGCTTTCCTTGGAGACCCCAGGTCACAAGGTCAGGGCCATGCCAGGCCTGCGGGTGTGACACAGACACCCAGGCCACTCTCATGCCCACAGGTCCAGGACCCTGAGGGGGCCCTGTCACAGGGTGGGCTGTGGTGGAGCCTGTCCCTGCATGTGCTGGCTGCCTCAGGCGTCACACGGCCTTCCTAGCTCCAGGCCGGCCTTCTCCGGCAGCCTCGGAGGACTGGGGCCCCTGGGAGGAAAGACGCTCAACAGGTGGGTGGACGCAGGACACCAGAGGGCAGAGCATCTGGGCAACTGGCAGCAGGTGGAGGAGCTGCCCTTCCTGGCCAAGCCACAGGGCTGGGCAGAGGCCAGCTTGGGGGGCACGGCCAGAATTTGGCAAACTGACGCAGCGGCCACAGAGACGGAGAATGCTCTGTCTGGAAGCACCGCAGCCTAAGAGCCAGGACGCAAGAGTGAGTCAGGACAAGGCCCAGTGTCGCAGCCTCCGGCTGTGAGGGAGGCCAGTCAACGGCCACAGGTGGGGGAAATCCACAGATTGAGTCACTTCGGTGTGACTTAGGCAAAGAAAGGGGCCGGGGGGCCAGGGAACCTCAGCACCCAACCCAGGTGCACTGGTAACAGCTGCCCGCACAAGACCCACGGGGTACTGGCCCCGAAGCCCAGTCATCTTAGGCAGAAAACCTGTTGCAAAACCAAGACTGTGCACCCAAGTGGAGCATGGCCCTGGGGCCCACCACGGGCGGAGGCCTCCCAGGGTCCCACACCCGCGCGCCTACCTGAGTAATTGCGTTCAGCTCCTCGAGGATGGCGTCTTCGTCCTCCTGAGTGAAGCTTCCCGCCAACAGCTCGTCTATTTGCTGCAAAAGGAGTGGCCGTGAGAGCAGGGCCCACCGGGGGCAGAGGACAAGGAGACCGCCTGCAGCGGAGTCTCCCCCACTGGAGAGCAGGCGGGGACGGGCCGCAGGGCTGGGGAGGGCTGGCGGGCACCTACCCGCTGGTACTCCACGGCCTCCTGGGTCTCGTCCAGGATCCTCTCCACGTCTTCTATGGACATCACCTGGCAATGACGGGGACAAGCATGGAGTCAGCGAGGCCCCTCACAGAGGCTGGTCAAGGCCACTGGGCTCCCAGGGCCAAGGCCGTGCCCCTCTGCCCACTAAGTGAAGCCACTTCTGTCCCAGGAGGGCCCTGTCCTGGGGCCGCAGGGCCGCCTGACCGGTCTGCTCAGAGCTGTGTCTTCTGCTGGTGCTTCTCGCACGGAGTCGGCTCAGGGTTACAAGTAAAAATGAAGAAAAAGTGGAAAACATTCTCCAGACAGCTGACTTGATTTCTTTTGAGTAGCAAGTTCACAGTAGCACCAGTGTCCCCAGCCCAGCCCAGCCTCAGGCCCTGGGTCTGGCACAAACACCTCCTAGCCGAAAGCGAAGGTGCAGCTGTGACCTCAGGCACACTCATGGGACAAGCCCCTCCACCGACCCTGGGGAGCCTCCTGCCCCGTGGCCCCAGCCCAGCAGGGACCCACCTGGTGCATCTTGTTCAGACACTCGTTGCCCAGCTGCAGCCCTTCCATGACCTTCATCTCGATCTGGGTGAACTCTATACTCTGCACCTGCAAAGGAAGGGGGCCGGGCCCACCCTCAGCAGCCCGGCCTGCGCTCCTGACCCGGGGAAGACTCAGCACAACACCGCTGGACGTGTCTGGGTGTCAGGGTGACTCGCAAGCTGCCCTCCTCCCTGTTCTCTCCATGGCCAATTGGGGACAGAGCAGGACTGCACACCCAAGGGACTGCTAACTGCTCATTCACTGCTCTTGTGAGGGAAGAGCAGAGCCACATCGCCCGGGGCCCTGACACCAGGGACACTCATGCTGGTCCCTCAACAACTCCTTGGTCACCAGGGCAGACCCCTGACCCACCCACGCCACCCAGGGGTGGCCCAGCCCTCCAGACCACGCTCCCGTGAGAGCCATCCTGCCCCTGCCCCCGCCCCTCAGGATCATCAGGTTCCAGCAAAGACCAAGTCGTCTCGCGGAGGCCTGACCCGCTGTCCTCACGAGGTGAGCTTTGGCCTGCAACGTCTGAAGGAGGAGAAGGAGACTCCCATTTCCACGCAGCCTGGCGGAGCCGCCTCGGGGCCACACCCTCCCGCCTACCATGGCCTCCAGGCTGCTGATCTGGGTCTCCGTCTTGTCCAGCAGCTGCTCCCGGTATCGCTTCTTCTTGAGCAGCAGCTTGGCCCGTCTGCAGAGGGAAGCCCAAGCGGTGACCCTGCTGCGGCCCCACCCAGTGTGGACTGGCCTCCTGGGCCTCCCAGCCCTCTCTGGGCCCCACTCACTCCTTCCTGCCATCCCGCAGCAGCTGCCGGGCCAGGGCCCGCTCCCGCTCCAGCTGCTGGGTGATCCTCTTCTGGTACTGCTTGAGTTTGTCACGCTGCTGCTTCAGTTGCTGCCAAGAGAGGGGCCTCGGGTCAACTGCGGGCAGACGCCAGTGGAACCCTCACCACACTGCCAGGCACCCAGTGTGGAGGCCGGAGGGTCACTGTCTGGATGCCTTGCAGGCCAGGTGGCCCTCTAAAACAGTGTCCTCGATGGGGCAGGTTTGTCCCGAAGGCACGTTTGGCAATATCTGGATGGCACTGGTTGTCCCCACTGGAGGGCAGTTCGAGTGGCACCTGGTGGGTGGAAGCCAGGGGTGCTCTCCACATCCTGCAACGCACAGGGCAGCCCCACCAGAATCATCCGGCCCCAAAGGTCCAGAGTGCCCCGGTGGGCCCTGCAGCCAGCCACCGCATGGCAGAGACACAAGGGGACCACTGAGGCGTCTCCATCGGAGCACCCCCAATTGTCATCTTTGAGCAGCATTAAGTGCCGTGTGGTGGGGCCAAGGAGTAGCTGCCAGTCCCTGGGAAGTTTGGCCACAGCAGAGAACAGCAGGTGACAAGCACCGGAGCACCACCATCCCACACAGCCAGGTTAGGGATCAGGCGTCCCCTCCAAGGCAATATACCGGCGAGACCTTGATCTGCCTGGGAAAGGGTGTGTGGTCACGTGCAACTTCAGTCAGCCCTCCCCTACTCTGGCCCTTTCGGATGATGCTAGGGTGAGCGCAGGCACAGGGCACATCTCACACTTGGGGCCGTGTCTCCCGAGTGACCATAGGAGAGTCAAGGCAAACGTGCATCTTTCAGACTCGGCATAGCGAGGAGCTGGTCACCGGTTCTCTCTGAAAGGGCCCATCTCCTGGCTCCCTTCGCGCACGGAGTGTCCTCTGTACAGAGGCCTGTGGGCGGGCCGGGTGGGAGCTGCCTGTGCTCCCCTTGCAACAGTGAAAGGCACCCCTCACTTGGCCCAGGGCTGGGGAGACGCCAGGGTCAGGGCCCACGCCCAGTCCTCCCCAGCTCCCGGCCGAGCCTTCACGGGCCATTATCCACACCAGCTGTATACAAAACATTCTGAGTCTGGTCTCAGAAGAGATTAGAGAGTGGCCAAAGGGAGGCAGGTGTGGCCAGGTTGCCCTGCTGTCAAACAGGAGGTCTCAGCAGAGGGTCACGCCGGCATGCTGGTCTCACCTGTTATTCTAGGATAACAGAAAGCCATATTTGTTTTAGCATGTGCTAATTATGTTGTTCCTTAGCATTTGAAAGTCCAAGAAGAAAAGGCAGACGGAAATGTGTGTTTGCACTGCCTGTAGAGCCCCACCAAAGTGAATCCTTAGCAAGTACAAAGTTCTACTTAAAGAGAAACTGGTAGGTGAGTCCTTAAACAGGGAAGAGAGGCCAGGTGTGGTGGCTCACACCTGTAATCCTAGCACTTTGGGAGGCTGAGGCGGGAGCATCGCTTGAGCCCAGGAGTTCAAGGCTGCAGTGAGTTATGACGATGCCACTGCACTGTGGCCGGGTGACAGAGCAAGACCCTATCCCAAAGAAAAAAAAAGAGAGAATCGCCTTGTGAGCTTCCTGCTCTTGCCACAGACAGTAGAGGGTGGAGCTGGGCACACCTGGGCCAGCTGGGCCCTGCTGTCCTGTAAACAGTACCTGGAGACAAATGTGCCCATCATTTCTTCTTCACCTGGGGGACTTCAGTTAAGAACTTCCGAAAACTTATGGGTTCCAGAAAATTGTTGCGGAAAATTTAGAGGAGAAAACATCAGAAGGTAAACTCTGATCACATTTTGGAGTTACTTCTTTCTTGCCGTTTTCTTTTCATTACAAAAATGGGTTATTCTCAGCATACCATTTCACTTAAGGTATACAATTCTTCCTGCAAAAACTGTTATATCAGAGGTCCCCTGGAAGAGACACTTGAATCTGTAAGCACATTAGACTCAACTCATCATCAACTTCCGAGGGTCCGGTTTTGCCTGCGTGATGGGTCCCAGGGTCCCGGGCGGTCGCAAACAAGCTCGCCAAACACTCCAGTTTCCCATCAGAGTGCTTTAGGGACTTGGCAGGACTGCAGATCCCAGCAAGGACTAAGGCGGACTGAAGCCCACCTTGAACGCTCTGCAGATGCTGCGGTGGTTCCAGGGCTTAGAGACGCAGGGGCGAGGGGATGGGCCGGGCCGCCTGCCGCCCCCCAACCCGGAAGCACGGCGTGGATGCGCACCCAGGGCGCCGGCGGGCAGAAGGGCAGCCGCACGCTGCAGGGGACGACTCCACAAAAGACGCGACTCGGCTGCGCCTGGGAGCCCGGGGCCAGGACCCGCCGCCGCGCGGCGGGAGAGCCGCGACCTCTCCACAGGCGGGACAAGCGACTGTCCCGCAGCCTCCGGGGGACCGCTCGCCGGCCAGTCCCCGCACCACGCGCGTGAGGCTGCGAAGCCCCCAACTCCCGGGTGCGGCCCGGCGTGGGGACCACGGCAGGACGCGCCCACCACGAGCGCCGCCCCCGTCGCGCCGGCCTCGCACGGCCCACCGCACCGGGTCCGCGCTTCCCAGGACCGAGCCAGGGTCGGGAGACCCAGGGGCCGGTCCCCACGCAGCGGCCGCGAGGGCGCCACGCCCGGACACCCCCGCCGGGCAGCGCGCCTCAGTTTCCCCACGCCAAGTGCGGGCGTCGAGGGCCCGGACTCTTCCGGCCCCACAGCCGGCCGCCGCCGGCCTCGGCCTCCCCCGTCCCCGGCCCTCACCAGGATGGCCTTGTCCTGCTCCGTGACCCGGCTCTGCTTCTTGCGGCCGAACAGGTTGCCCATGGCGGCCGCGGCCCGGCCCCCGCGCCTCTGCCGCACCCCAGTCCCGGCAGCCACCGTAGACCGAGCCCGTCCCGTTACGGCGGCCGCAAAGGGCCCGGCGCCGCCGAACGCGAAGCTCGAACGTCTCCTGGCCAGGCCCGCCCCGCTACGGCGGCCGCAAAGACCCGGCGCTACAGAGCGCAAAGCCCCGCCCCGCTACGGCGGCCGCAAAGGGCCGGGGACCGCAGAACGCGAAGCGCGCGCACCTCCCCGGCCGCGCCTCCCGCGGGTTCTAATCCACGCCCGCCCTCGGCGACCGCCGCGAACACAGTGGCCTCCCTGGACCCGTAGGGCGGTGGCACGAGAAGTTGATGTTAGGGCCGGGGTGTTCTGAGTGACGTGTTCATGTGCACCCTTCCCACCTCGTCTCCCGATTAGTATAGATGGGACCCCTGCGGTTAACGTAATTCAGTCTCCAGGTGTCCAGAAATCCTGTGCAGGAGCCGCTGCCCCCGCCGGCTCTGCACGCAGAATGCTGCATTTAGTGATGTTATATCCAACTTTTTGAACTTAAAAGTGTTCCCTGCAAGGTGCGTGGGCAGCGCGTCCACCCAGCCACGCAGCATAGTTTCTCCTCCGACCGCTCCGCTCTGCCTGTGCGCCGGCCAGGAGCAGCCCATCGTGGCCCGTGGTGGCCCAGCGTGGCCAGGGGGAGCCCAGCGTGGCCAGTTGCAGCTTCTCCTCCTGTGGAATGGTGGCTGTGCCCTGCAGAAGCGTTCCTGCCTCCGGGACTAGGAAACACTGGTGGCCATCAGGTGTTGGTAGAGCGGCCACCCCAGTCCCAGCCTAGCTCACGCCCAGGTGTCCTGGCTGTGGGTGCTGGTCCAGAGAATACGCTGCGTGTCATAGACAAGCATGCTATCCTGTGTGGTCACGCCAGCTGGTGCTGTCCTGAGCGTGCCACAGGCCATGCCACTGCTACGAGGCCAGGCTCCTGATGGTGGGCATGTGGTAAGACGAGGAGTCCCACAGGTGCCACGCAGGCCAGTCCCCTTCCCTCTTTGCTCGTTGACAGGTCACAGGGCTGTGTGGGCCACCAAGATGGTGAGCCCTCTGAGTCCACGCTGCAGCAGAATCAGGGTTAGAGTCACGGGGGCCAGGGAGGCAAGTGCACACGCGGAGTGAGGCTGGCAAGGACAGGCACTGCCCGGCGGTGGGAGGGGCCCAAACTAACTCGGCTGCTGGCTGGTGCCACCCGAGGATCAGTGTTGCTCTCAGTGTGTCCCGTTGGGTGCTCAGCAGTGGGTGGCCAGGTGGCCTAGGTGAGGAGAAGCCCACTTGGCTGAGCTGTGTGTAGCCCCTCCATCAACCATGGCCACGGTGTAGGCCACTGCGCAGGCGCGGTTGCCCGGGGAGGGAGGCCGGGCATCCACAGGGTGCGCCATCTTGCCCACCTGTTCCTGAGGTGCTCTCTGTGGGGCACTCTTTTGCCAGTGTGCTCAGGACATAATGTCCGGGCCCGCTCTGGGCTCTGGCCACACCTTTGGGGGACAGCCGTGACGAGGCCCCAAGTCGGGCTGTGAAGGTGAACTCTTGGCCCAGCCAGGTAAGACCAGTGGCTTCTGCTGGTCTTTGCAAATTGGTGTGGAGGGAAAAAGCATTAGCCACGCCGCCGGCAGCATCCCAGGTGCCAGGAGAGTGTCAATTTGCTATAGGAAAGATATTCCTATAGAGGACGCAGCGTCTGGGATTATTGCAACTGACTGAATTTTCAATAATCCCCACTCTCTAAGGTCCCTCTGACCTCTGTAGAGAAAAGCAGGTGAGCTAAGTGGGGAATCCATGGGACTTGATCACCACACCTGCCTCCTGAGCCCCTTGGCGGTGGCACTGCTCTCTGTAGTCCCCAGGGCTGCGATATTGCTCTGAGTTCGCTGTCTCGGCAGAGGGGACCTTCTTGTGGCTTCCACTGAGCCCCTCCGACCACGACTGAGGCAGCAGGGGAGGGTGCTGACTGCCAGGTGTGTGCAGGTCAATCTCGCTGCGAGGACTGGGCAGGAACACGGGCCAGGCCTGTGGGCTCCCCGGCCACTGCGAGTCGGACTTGGGCTGACGCTCTGCACGTCGCCTGACTACCGTAAACCCCTTCGACTGGTGGCTCCCGGCGCTGCCTAGAGTCGCCAGAATGAACATCTGTTTTTAGCCGGAGTCTTTAAACTGCTGAGCGCTTGTGTATTTCCTCCCCCACTGCAGTCATTCCAGTAAGTGGGTGCGGGTCCCTTTGGGGAGCGTCTGGAGGTGGCTTTCTGGTATTCTTGGCCACATTGCTCAGGGTTCTTCTTCAAGGGCCCCGGCCCCCCACTCCATGGCTCCCAGCCTGTGAACGGGGGAGAGGCGTGGCCGTCGGCTGTGGGTTTGCCCAGCAGACCTGGAGTTTGTTTCGCTGCACAGGGCAGGCCCATGCTAGCGGGCGGCCGTTATTCCGTTCCCACGGACACGCTGCTTAGCCAGAGAGGCCACGGGCCACGGCGTTCTGAGCACCAGCACGTCCCGCTGCCCCTGGGATGTGCCCGCCTTGCGCTTGACGGTTGGCTGTTGCCTCTTGGGCTCCGCTGCTCTGGGATCCCATCAGCCCACTGAAATCAGGGCCCCCTCGACAGGGGCACCCCATCCCATGGTCACACTTTGAGACAAAGGGGAGCAGTGAGAGAGCTCCTCAGGCCACAGGGCTCCCCTCACTCCCCTCACTCACGCATCCCTCGTGCCCATGACAGTGGTGTCTTTTGAGCCGCCTCGGGGCGTGGTTGGCGTGGGGGTGTCGGGCCACCCTCGGTGGCTCCAGCCCAGCATCCCTCTCCCTGCACCTCACGTTCTTTCCTCCACGTCGTGCCGGGGGAGCTCCGCGTGTCAGCCTCGCCGGCTGTGGGCCACTGTCCAGTCCACGCCCGTCAGCCACGCAAGGAGCCGCCAGCAGTGGCGCCAGCTGCACAGGTTGGGTGGGATCTGGCCTCGCTGGTGAGCGCGCCGAGGTGGATGAAATCAGCCCGCTCTGTGTTCTGTGTCGACGTCCTCGGCCTCACACCCCCGGGATCCACTCCCACACGTATTCCCAGGTTCCTGCCAATATATGTTTGAAAAATCTCTGAATTCTTGTAGTATATAAGCCAGGGTTTGGCAAACTGCAGCCTGTGGGCCAGATTAGGCCTGGAGTCTATTTTTTGTATGGTCTTCGAGCTAAGAATGGTTTTTGCTTTTTTAAAGGGTTGTAAAACACGCGCACACACATAACACTGAGAGCGAGGAGGAGGAGGGCAAGGGCCAGGAAGACGGTGACCACGTGTGGCCCACAAAGTCTAAGATGTTTACTGTTCGGTCTTTTATAGGAAGGGATTTGCAGTCCATCCTGCATCATGCCACGTACCTGACCCCTAACATGTGACTCTGCATCTCGTGGCAACAGGCAGCGGCTGTGGTCGTCCTTGCTGAGGAGGGGCTGCCGCGGGTGGGCTCCCCGAAGGTTTCTGCACACGGACAGTCTCCGCCACTGCCACTGCGGCCACCAGCCAGCGGGTGTGGAGGCCGGCAGTAGCTGGGGCACCCACGGCACTTGCTTCAGCCACACTCGTCATGCCCAGCCAGCGGCCACGGCCTGATTCACTGTGAGGCCCGCGTGCTGGGGGCCCAGGGGCACGTGTCCCATCGGCGGGAAGCTCAGCGGTGCGTTGGAGCCAGGGCGTGACCAGAACAACCCCGAATCCACCCTGCAGGACCGTCTCCCGGGGCTGCTACCACACTGATTCCACACCGCCGGGTCCCAGTCCGGAGACAGAAACCGCACCAGTAACAGGAAAATGTAACATAAAAGATTGAAAACTAGAAAAAGGTGTTTACTGAAAGGGTCCAAGAGAACTCTGGAGGGAGACAGGAACAGCACACGCCAGCAGCAGCCACTGTTTCCAGGACGGGGGAGAACTTGGCAGAGCGTCCCGCAGGGCCGGGGGCCAGGCCTGGGAGCGGCGTGGCTGCCACCGGAGCCGCAGCCTTGGCAGGACGTTGCCTGAGGGCGAGAGCCAGAGCGCCGTCGCCAAGACGCTCACCAAGGGGACAGATGGGCAGAGCTGCTCCCGCAGGAACTCCCACCAGGTGGCTGAGAGTCTTGCCGGGAGTGCGACAGACTGGGGGTGTCTGCAAGAAGCAGCCCACGGGTGGCGGAGACACTCGCTGAAAGCCTCCCGCGTGCGATCCACTGGCAGCCGCGCCGCGGGGAACCAGGGAGGGACGCGCCAGCCTCCGCGGCCTTGCTGCACCTCCAGCGCCCTCTGCCGGCAGCGTCAGCGCCGAGCCGTCACCACAGAGCAGGCCCAGGCGGGGTGGACTTGGAGCCGAGGGACGACGGTGGCACCACAGCCGGCCTTCAGTCATGGCAGGAGTGACGCTGTGTGACTTCCGAGGCCAGATGCTGAGAGGGGACCTGGCTCCCATCTGGCATCTCTTGGGACCCTTGTCCTTGCAGGAGGCCTCCTTACCGTGGAGAGGCCCCCACGGGAAGGAACCACCAGGTGCCACCAGCTGGCCGGCCACGGGGTGACCATCTGGGGACCCATCAGCTGAGCCAGCCCAGCTGGTGTCACACAGGCAGAGGGGACCCCCCCCGTGAGCTGCTGAAATGGCGGATCTGCGAGCCACGTGCACAGAGGTGGTTGGTTGCACAGCAGGGGGTAACTGGAGTGGCAGCGGTGGGTGGACCTGAAGTGGACGCGCGCAACACGAGCGTTTCTTGGAGGCCGCCTGGGAGAAGCCCATCCTCCCCTTAGTTGGGGCCCAGGCCTGGGACTGGCCCAGGAGTCTCTGTTATCCGACTCCATGACAGATCTGGACATTTTTTTTTTTTTGAGACAGAGTCTCGCTCTGTTGCCCGGGCTAGAGTGCCGTGGCGTCAGCCTCGCTCACAGCAACCTCAAACTCCTGGGCTCAAGCGATCCTCCTGCCTCAGCCTCCCAGGTAGCAGGGGCTACAGGAGTGTGCCACCGTGCCTGGCTAATTTTTTCTATATGTTTTTAGTTGCCCAGCTAATTTTTTCTATTTTTAGTAGAGACAGGGTTTCGCTCTTGCTCAGGCTGGTCT